CCCCAAAACCCCAAAACCCCAAAACCCCGTCTGGTTAAAAATCAAACAGATAAGAAAAGACATTAAATATCAATCAATATTAAAATTCAAATGAAAACAATCGTCTGTCTTTCTGCACTTCTTTTGGTATCAAACGCCAAGCAATTTTCTCTTACTGAAAGGGTTTCTAGTGCTTTCAATAAGCTTATTGCCAGAAAGTCACTTCAGTCAGTCTCGACTGCTATTGCTATTGCTGAGGAGGATCACAGTTGGCCCAAAGTAAAAGTTCCACTAAACTTCGAACTTAATGCTAACGCTTACCATCTCGATGAAACTAATTCAACCCTCCTCCCATACAAAGAGATGCACATGCAAATGAAAGTTGATACCGATTCTAACAGAGTGTATCAGCATCTCATCTTTGGTGCGTCAGGAAACCTGAAAGAACAGGAGTCACTTGAGGACTTCACTACTCACCATTATATTGAGAAAACCAATATGGGACCTCTTAAAATCTGCAAAGAGAGGAAAATTCCAGCTGAGATCAATGTTAAAACTGTTATTCAAAAGTTCAACTAGGAAAACAATAACATCACTAGCTATCTTGGCAAGCAAATGCCAGCATGGGCTTAATGCGAATTCCATGTTTTCCAAGCAGTTGATGAGCACTACTACTTTTGCCCAAAGACTTTAGAGTTGAAGTATCTTTAACAAGGAAACATCTTTTTCAAGATTGAAAATGGCCTGGTAGAGAAGACTTTCACCAATGCTGACTTCAACATGACTAAGTGCAATGCACTAGTTCAAACTTTCTTAGATGTAGCAATGAAGAGACATCAAACTATGCTTGAACAATTCATGCTTTTCTAATGATGATTACTAACTGTGAAGAAATTTCGTGAGATAAAATTTTAACAAAAAAAAATAAACCTTTATTTCATAAATAGTTTATATTAATTATTATTCGATCAACAAATAGAACTTTCTAAACTACTTTAGAAAATCTAAATTGGTCTTGGTCCTTGGGGTTTTGGGGTTTTGGGG